CTCGACACGGCACAGCGCGGATGAACACAGTGTTTGAGGAGAGTGTGCAGCTGTCAGTCACCGCGCCGATGTGGATATTGTCATTCAGAATCACAGATTATTCTTTTTGGAAGTATGACCAACCAGTGGCGTAGGCAGAAATTGTATTTTGGGTGGGCCAGTGAAAATGTGAGTGGGCCTATAGTTTTTCATAGAAAAAAAATGACTTCAGTAATAATTAACCTTAGAGAGTAGAAAAATTAATAGACAAACTGCAAAAACAGTTACACCTTTATATTCGGCAAATCATCATGTTCAACCAACAGAGCTTAATAAAGGCTGGACAAACCAGTGTAGACAATAACCTGTCTATTTTATTCAGGCTAGTCAGCAGTCCAAAGACAGTTTACCCGAAAATAAAGTAAGCTAAAATAATAATATCGCAGTTAGATCGGCGGCTAAACCCGCGTCAGGCTGACGGAGAGAGGGAGCAAAAAGCAGCCGCCACCAGCACCTGACTAGCCTTCTGGGTTAATGAGTTTGAAGAACTGGGCTGTGTGGACTCGGTAGATGAAGGCAGTGGCGTGTCTTCTTCCTCAACTCTTGCTTTTTTCAAATAGCACATTAAAGAAAGTTGTTTAGCCATTATTGTGGCGCCGACGACGCTTGTGAGTTTTCCTGTCGGAACCCCCAGCAACCATAGCAACCAATAACGTTCCGGAGAGAGGCTTTCTACAACTTGCTTCGACAGTTTCATTTTATTCGGAAAACGAATTAAACACACACAGCAGTCAACAATAAATCAGGTATATATTAATATATTTTCTTAAATACATTTGAATAAAAATAAACTAAAAATGTATTTTTATCAAACTTGCCTGGGCGGGCCAGTGAGTAATGTGGGCGGGCCAGTGCCGCCCTGGCCCAATACTGGCTACGCCCCTGTGACCAACATAAGAATTTTCACCGGGAAATGTCATCTGAACTAGTAAGAAACATTCACTTTTGTTCTGGTTCTGACATTGCAGTAAATCGCGCTGATTAAATCTAACAATCGCTTATAAGTTATCACATCACGCAAAACCGTTGCAACTTATAGTTTGTTTTCAAATTGTTCATGTTAACAACGTAAGCATTGCGTGACTACATGTAATGTCCTTCCGATATTATCCTTGTTTTCGCATGGGCCGGTTGCAGTCTCTTTTTTTCTGTAGTCACTCCGAAGTCCGAACGAAGTCTTTTGCATTTTACAGCGGGTGAGTCTCTAGTTGTCACTGATGATGATCGTCGTTTGAACCTTTCTGGATCCGCCATCAAATTGATAAGTTTAATTATATCAAGTGCTGTGAGAAAAGGCTATAAATCTCTACCTCCAACATCCTCACACGCAATATAGCTTATACTAGCCGAGACTCCTTCTTTATGTGTACAGATGTGACGTAATGACGCAAAGACATGCTCGAATCTCCCGCGGAAATCCACCAGTACCACTAAAATTAAAAACATTATTACAAGCTTACCGTTTTGCATCGAGCTAAGGCAAGCAGATAGTTTTGAACACTGGCTGGTTATGTATTTTATCAAATATGTATTTTGGATAATTTTTAACCCAAAAAAAGCTACGGACAGCAGCTTTAAGTGTTTAGTCAAACAACTGTTTAGCAATTAGACTCCTCTAGCTAATTTTTATGTTGCTCTTACGTTATTATGATTTACACGCATTAAAACTCTGTTAACCAGGATTCATTTATTCATTACATAAAATGAAGACACAACTCATAATCTTCACAAATTGTAATGTAAAAAGCAGCAAGCAACGAGTTTACGTTTCACGAGCGTAATGAACAACATCAGTCGGTTCATTTCGATTCATTACTGAGTGATTCATTAAATGAACAGACTCGTTTAGATTTCGATTTCTCCTATTAAATGATAAAATGAATGTACTCACAGTCTGAAAAACAGCAGATTTAGAGCAGAATGAACGGCTGTGTTCCACTTCTCATGTTTATGTTCCCTTCCCTCGTTCACTTCTCTTCTTCTCCTAGACTCGGATGTGTGTCATTGCTTCAGTTGCTCAAGCGCCTCTACCGGCGGAACTCAGAATTCTTTCATTTATATTACAGGCAATGCGTCGCGGTAAAGTGAAAGTGAAAGCTGCACATTCATAGAGATGTTACACCTAAATATTCTAGCCAATCTTGAAAAGTTATGAGGAAACAGTATTATTTAAACTCTGAAAATGAAATAGAATAGATCTATATCTGTGTGATTTCTCACATGTATATTAATGTTTCCTTTATGAAACTCTTTACACGTTTTTTGCATTACATTTTTTTAGTCAGTGAAATTCCCTTCTAATTGGTCTCAAATGATTAAATTCCCATAATTCAATTAAAGCAATTAATCAATCCTTATAAATTCAGTTCAGAGAGAAGCTAAAAGAAAATAATATTGATGAGGTTATAATTCCATTTCACATTTCATTCAATTAAATGTTTTATTATTTTGTAAATGTAAGCATTTAAGAAAAATTTTAGACAAGCACAAACTATGTGCTTAATGCAAATATATTGGTCACATTCACAAGCGATTAGGTTCGCCAATTTATGCAAATGTATTTTATGTATAGGCCTAGTGACAAAATAATGAGGTTAATGGCAGTCTGTCACCATCAGTTTAAAGTAGTGATTGTATTTGTTAATATAAGGTACACCACAAAAAAAATCTTTTGGTTTTATTTTTCATCAAACAAGCTATACAAAACAGTAACCTATGGGGAATGCATATCCTCACAGAAACTGATGTATGATGTTACAGTATCTATATTACAAGATATAGGCTTGTAAATCCTGTTCTGCTTCATTAGTCCATCTTTTTACAGTCCTTGTTTCTGTTTCTGAAAAAAAAAAACACATCAGTAACAAGCTATTTTTTATACTATAAGTCAATTTATTGAAACATTTTCACAGTCTTTAAACTGAAATCTTAAAGGATTTGCTATCATGTGGCTCCATAGTGGACAACATTAATAATATGGTCTTCATCTCAATTGCTAATAATTTTTTTTGAAAAAGTCCACTTTTTGAAAATTACTTTATTACTAATGTGGTAGGCTACCTTATTTGTAAGCAATAAGGTACGAGAGGCTGTGCTGTATCGTGAATAAGTAACGGCTGGAGGGCGTTGTTAGGCACGACGCGAAGCGGAGTAACCCCATTAGCCGTTACTTATTCAAGATACAGCACTTGCCTCGAGTACCTTATTGCTTTTATAAAACGGTTACCACACAATAAAAATATTAAGGTAAAAAAATATGTATTAGTGCAACTTTCATGAAGTAAAATCACTAAAAGCCTTCCTTCCGCTAGAAAAAAATAGTCCCTGACCGTGAACAGCAACAACGTTCCAATGTGTAATATGCATGAAAGCTCAAATAAAAACGACATAGGAACCACAGTGTTGCGCAGTGATAAGTATAAATTGGGTGAAGCCGTGTTTTATCGTGAATAAAGCACAGCTATTGACCAATCAGAATCAAGGATTGGAACTAACCGTTTTATAACAGCTGAATGGTTAAGAATGCTTGCAGAGATTGCTACTTGTTGCTAGCAGAAATGACAGCTGCTATCTACTAATGATGAAATAAGGTTTATATTATTTGGTTCACACTGGTTATAGTAGCCTACATTGTATTTTGACAAACAGTTTGGTTAAAAAAAAAGTAATTAAATGGAACTCGTCATGGTTTAAGGTGATTTTGAGTCTGAATAACTTGCATGAGCTTCTCAGTATAGTTATTTCAACCACGTGGCCATATTGAATCCGTTGTGATTCATAAACGTACACAACTTTTATTTATTTATTTATTTTATTTATATAAAGAGCGAATACATTATGAATCAATTTCCCAAACCATGATTTGTCTTAATCACAGTACGCCTAGGCTAAGTGTTTATACTCTGACTTTTTTTGACAGAGCGGGACGCAACCGCCGCGGAGTAACCGAGTACCTGCGTGACTCGTCATAGCATAAACAGAGAGAAGTAGCTCCGGCTACAATGTTCTTCCGCAAGACGCATTACGATTTGTTTATTAAGTGCCAAAAGCTTTATGGTGTACCGTTAACTGATTTAATTCACTGTGTTTATCAGACTGTGATTTTATTTTTATTAGGAGAAATCTAAATCCGACAACTTGCCTTTACAAAAAGGAATTAAAATAATCACAAAATAAAAGCAAGGGAAATTAAAACAGTTATAAAAGAATTTAAAAGAGATAAATGATAGAGGTAAATCTTCTTATCTCTTAAAACTTGTACCATCTAATTAAGATTTATATTAAAACCCACAACATCAGTAACAAGCAAGTTGAAAGAGTCCAGAAGACATTTGCAAACTCCTTAGCAGATGTTTGAATCTTTAGACTTTATCCCAATCAAACATATTTGAGGAGATAAATAGTGTTGTATAATATCTTGTTTTGTATCGAATCTATGAAAGTTAGAAAGTTTAATATGGTTTCCGCCAGAAGAGGCGCTCGAGCAACCGAAGCAATGACACACATCCGAGTCTAGGAGAAGAAGAGAAGTGAGCGAACATAAACAAGTTGAACACAGCCGTTCATTCTGCTCTAAATCTGCTGTTTTCAGACTGTGAGTACATTCATTTTATCATTTAATAGGAGAAATCTAAATCCAAACGACTAAACAAGTCCGTTCATTTAGTGAATCACTCTGAAATTAATCGAGATGAACCGACTGATGTTGTTCATTACGCTCGTGAAACGTAAACTCGTTACTGACTGTTTTTCACATTACAATTTGCGAAGATTATGAGTTGTTTTCATTTTATGTTATGGAAACAGTTTTTAATATATGTTAATCATTTCTAATGTAAGAGCAACATAAATATCAGCTAGAGGAGTTTAATTGTTTCTAAATGGCTATTAGAGCAAAACACTCAAAACTGAATAATCTCGAGTGATTGTAAGTGTGATGATCATCTGCTACATGAGCAACAACGACCACAATTCACTCCTTCAGTCAGTGAAGCTCCCACAGCCGTTCATGAGAGTTTAAATGCTGGGGAATATTCCCATCTTCCCACAGGAGAAGAAGAAGCAAGCAGGAGGAATTACTCCAGGAGAAACTACGGACATACTATTGTAAAGATGGAGATTAAGGAAGAACCCTGCAGAATAAAAGATGAAGATACAGAGGAACAAATAGGTTGGTGTTTTCCTTCATTCTCTTTAATGACTGATGAGGAACATTAAGATGAAAACTCACAAATCCTCCTGAGACCCAGGCATAGACTTTATCCTCTGTAGAGGACATTATATTTTAGTGAATTTCTCTGAGATCTTCATTCATGTCACAGTCCTGTAAAGAGCACATTCAGGGCTTTTCAGAGATACCAAACGTTTGAAGGTTTCACCTTGAAAAATCCCTCTCGTTGACAATGACTGAATGATCACATTTGTAAAAATATTTGGTATTTATCATTTAAACAGTAATTTTCAAATTGTTTGTCGTAAATAAACATATCAGAAACTTTATGGGGTTTCAAATCAGAATAGGACTTTCTTTTACAAAACAGGGCATCGATTTCATGCGTGTCCTCTGTAGAAGACATCAGAAATTATACATCAATAATCCTATGAATTATGAGATATTCTTATGAAAATGGTGCCAAGTTATTACTCCCATTATTACACTTCTTTTTACATTACATGTTGCCACAAGAATACATTAATATGCACATAATTAATTACTTTGTAATTAATGGGACTACACATGTATAGCAATTTTACAAACATATATCCTAAAGTAAAATAGTGTATCAAATTATTCTGTTATATCTTTCATAACATAGTTGAGAATCATCTTTATACAAAGTTGGTTAATTATAGCCTGAAACCTAAAAATGTATTGGTATATGAAAAAAAAACCCCAAAGAAACAATGTTTTGCCTATACATGTATTATCATGCCATTTTATTTTTTTAAATAACTGAGTCCAGGGGTCCGTTCTTCGTACCTCGCTTAACCTGTTAGCCAGCACCCCCACTTTAAAAAATAAATAAATAAATAATAAATAAATAAATGGCATACCCAAACTAAAACAGATACAGTTCATAATCCCTTTGCACTAAACGCAATAATTATGGTCTTGTTTGAAAGCAGACACTTGACAGTTTATTGTAAATGCAAAATTAATTGTTCTTATAATGAAATAAACTGTATGTTATAAATAGCCTAGCTTCAAAGTTTTGTAAAGTTATTATGAAATATCCAACATGTAACAAAGTTGGCATCTAGAAGTGCACTGCAGCTAAAGCCACATGCCTGACCATGTTATATTTCAAATCTGAAGATAAGTCTAAAACTGTGAATTTAATTAAATGTTTTTCAAGATCATGTCATGTGACTTTATTTTGAGAAGACTCAAACATGCTAACTGATGTTTATTGTCATTTTCTAAGCATCCATTCAGTGTATTGTCTCTATTGTTTTGTGGTGCAAACGAACGCCATTCAGTTTCAGTTTTCACCGCACACATTCACAGCTCTCCGGCCTGGTTATGGCTCTAATTATTCTTTCCTTTTGTCTTCATTATTACTGACAACTTTATATTCACACTGTTTTAATCCCCAATTCTTTGAACAAACGTCTCACTTAACCTTCTTTGAAACTGTATCAAATGCGCTTCTTGAAAAAAGAAAGTAGTTCGTAGTAGTTTTACTATTCAAAATAATTCATAAAAAAAGGGGGCCTAAAACTTAGGGCTAGCTAGCATGTTATCTTAGCACACCATCAATACATGACAATTTATGAGATTAAAACCACGTTTTTGCTCATATCTAACTTTATAACGCATGTCGAGTGTTTTAAATAACCTTCTGTGATCTGATGTGGCTTAAATATATATATTTGTAGTATTTTTTTAGTATTCTGCACAATGATGATAAAGGCTATGTCAGTTAGCATTGCATTATTACTGTGCGTTCACACCGTCGCCCTGCCAACGACGCCGTGGAAAGATTCGTGGACGCTCTGACGTAGATCGAATGCTTGGTCTTTTTTAAAACTGTATTTAAAGGGGCCGCAAAGCAAACAAGCATGTCGATCGTTATTTTTGCAGACTGACCAAGTAGGGTATTAGTTAACCTCATTGAATCTTTTAAAGGTGCTATATGTAGTTTTTAGCAGCCTCTAGCGGTGATGTTTCAGATTGGAACAAGAGCGCTCGTGCTCGTGCTCTTACTCAAGAGTGAGCACTCACTACCGGCCACACTGCCCCCTAAAATCCACTGGATCCGTCTACGGCGCGGAACGTCAGCGCCACGTTTTTGATGCGTCCCTAGCTCGGCGTCAAAGTCCACTGGAAGCGTCTCAGACGCGTTTCAGCAGCAGAGCGTTGGTCTCCACAGGGTGTTTTATTTTGAAAATCGACCGTATCCTCTATGCCATTCTGTGTCTGACTTCCTGCCCGGTACGATGTGCTCTGTGCTGCTTGACGCGGCAAGCGGCGAAAATAGACCTGCTACCTATTCTCTGCGGAGCGGAGAGACGCTTCTGGGACGCTTCTGAGACGCGCTGCGTCCGCAGCTGGTGGACTTAAGAGCATTGACTATAATGGCCGCGATTAGCTCAGGCATCCGCGACGCTGACGTTCCGCGCCGTAGACGGATCCAGTGGATTTTAGGGGTGAGACTTTCAACACAACGGAGAAAGCATCACACAACATGCTGGAAACTCGTGTAAACTCCCACTGCAACGTCACAATAATAGGCTACTTTTTACAGCTTGACGTTGAACTAATGCTCCATGCTCGTACCATGATAACATTACATTTGACTGCATTTAGCCGGCATGTGGTGTTCTAGCATAAGGCATTTCACTAACTATTTGTGTATCTTTCACAATCAGCAATGTCAACATAGGTGAATGTATGATATGATAACGAAAACGATTACAATTTCAGTGTAACAGTAAGACAGTAGGAAGTAACATTACTGTACTGAACGTGTCTGGAAATGTGTATTATAAACAATATGATAGTAGTAGGATGAGTTAGACAGTAGATCTAGTACATAAAATAGAAGTTACATCCTAAAGCACCTACTTTTTGTTATCCTGGAACAGTCTTTTGTCTTCAGTCAATTTCATGTCTCATGTATGTTGTAGTTTACCTTGCTATTTCATTACAGTTTAGCGTACTATTATTTATTTCAGCATATCTGAAAACTTGTAATTTATCAGAATGAAAATAGACATTGCATTGGTTTCATTTCAGGATTCCGATTCAGACAATTATGAACCTCTACTAACTGAAAGCAGTTGTCACGAAAACCACACAGGAAGCAGATAATCCATGAGCAGTAGTTTCTTTAATTAAAGGGCAATCCAAACTCGTTGTCAACATGCAGGGGTCAATCCAAATAAAGCCGTCAAGACAATAAACAAAACAGGAACTAGAACAAACACAGACCTGAAGTGGTGTGACACAAACTAAGGAATCCGTAACAAATACTAAAACAGACAGGGTATTTATACACACAATCTAACAAGACTAACACAGAACAGCTGGGAACAATGATTACGGGGAACAGCTGAGTGCAATGAACTGATGAGTGACAGTGACAGACAGAATGCTGGGAATTGAAGTCAAATGTGAAGGACACCGTGAGAACGAGGACCTCTAGTGATAGACAAGGGAACACAACCAGACACTGTGACAGCAGTTAGTTTAAACCTAAAACAAAGCGGAGGTCTCTCCATAATTCAAACGCTCTGCCGATGTTGATCCGTGTTTTCGTCCTGAGTCGATCCGATTGACGTTTGGCCTGACGAGCTTCCGCAGATAAAACTTTTTTGTTGTTTTTTATATTTTTTGTGGAGTTTGTGTTGGAGTCTGTGTTGTGCTGGAGGCAGGTCGTTTTTGGGTGTTATCAGACTCCATGTCGTTAGCTGCAGTGCCGTCGCATAGACTATAGGCTATAGGCCCTCGCCGCTGGCTCTCATTGAAAATAAATGACTTCCGGCCACTTTGACGCTCTCGCCGGCAGCGGTGTGAGCGGTTAATATAATCTATTATGAAAATACCCGGCATGAAGAACCCTGATAAACCATACATCTTCGTAATTGTTTGTTTATTGTCTCCAAAATGTCTCTGTCTGCATGTTATAATGATCTCTGAAAGCTTTGTTTATTTAAAGGAGTTCTTGGAATGTCACATGATATGCCTCTTCATCACTAGTGCCATTAGTGGCCTAAATGTGCATAGAGCGCCCTCAGGCTGCCCGTATGCATTGAAAACACAGTACATTAGAGTATCCAGCACTCATAATGATTACATCAGTGCATTTAGGGTAAAAATTGAATAAATATTACTCCTGTATAGAAATTTGACATAAAAGAATCTATCAATATTTTTTTAAATGTGCATGCTTTTGAACTAAAAGCCCTGAGGGACGTTGCTTTGTCAAGCATTTTCATGACGACTGTACAGGAGATTTTTCTCTGAATAGGAGCGGCTGATGCTCATGTTTCAAACCGAAGGTATCGGCTCGTGTCAAAATTTGAAGCTTGAATCTTAAATCTTTAAAATGATTAGAGATGTTCCGATACCCTTTTTCCCTTCCCGATACCGATTCCGATACCTGGACTCAGGGTATCGGCCGATACCGAGTACCGATCCGATACCTGGGTCTGTACTGTATCTATACAGCTGCAATTCAATTGGAATTGATAGAATTATTTTATGGTGTGCTTCAGACTTATCCCTTAATTAAACATGAACAAATACATAGGGTGAACTAGAGTATTTTTATTATCTGACATACATTTCACAGCAATATATTATTTATCTTTCTTAAATGAAAAAGAACTTAAAATGCAGCCACACATCTAATACTGTAAACTGAAAAAAGGTATTTTAGATTTACAATATATAACTGTATAAAAAAAGTGCAACAAATAAATCTAGGAATCTAAAAAAATTATATATGAATAATATAAGAAAATTATCTCTTTATAATTTAAGGTCCATAAACAGTTTTGTTAAATAAACGGCATTTCAGTTTTGACATCGGCTGGTCATCCAGAATAATAAACTTAATAACTTACATGTTGTGTCGGTTATATTTATGATCGCTCGTTGGACTTTCTTTTGAAAACATTTCTCTTCGTTTGAATGAAGCTTTCAGAGATTGTTGATTCTGGCGA